TACTTCAAAAACTTCAAACTTCAACAGCAACTCTATCGAAGCTGGGAGATTACTTTTGGATAACTCGACGTCGTTGCCGTGCGACTACCCGTGCGGCTCTGGACTGAGGAACAACTGCTGGCAGAAGGTACTGGAATTTATCTTCATCTGGAATCGTCGGATCTTCATGGATCTTCGAAAACTGGCTCCAAAACGTCAAAAATTCTTTTGCTTCGCCGTTTAATTTCTTTAATTCGATCTTCGGCAGTTTAAATTTGCACTTCTCTGGTAATTCAGCAGGTAAAGAATTCTTCAACAGCTTTTCGATTTGAGAACACAGTTCAAAATATTTATCTCTATAACGCTCAGACGAAATAAAATCTTCTTCATATAGCTTCTTTAGATTGAAGAATTATTGACGTTACTTCCTTTTGGCAAATTTCAAGTCGATTAAACTTGTCTTTAAGCTGTAGTTCCAGAACCGAAAGTAGCTTCAAATCGTGGATATCTGATTTCAATTCTGCATCAATTTTGTTTGCACATGTTGTAAAGGAAGTTTTTAGACAATTCTGTTCAGTTTTCAGTTGTGTAAGCTCCATTTTCAATTTATTTTAGCTGTTATCGCGCCTCACCTAATGGCACCACAAATATTATGTTACGTAAGACGTTACGCTCGAACAATGGCTAGCTCAGAAAGGATTCATGTGTCATCTACCAGATGAATTAACAGCTATCTTATCATAAATGGAGCAAGTCAGATCTTTTTAACTTAAGGAAAAAGGTTTATTTACACTTTTGTACAAGTTAAATGAATAGGAAATATCTATGTAGCTACATACAGCAAACGTCGTCCTGAACTATCTAAACCGCAACTACGCGTCCTTCTTTGGCGTCCCATGATGTCAGTCTCTATCTGGTCTTTGATTCGTTGGCGTAGTTATGCCATTCCCAGCACTAATGAATCCCGAACTCTGACTTTTGGAGCTGGTTCAGTTTCCATTTTCTTCGAAAAATATCTTTTGCACCTAAAGCATTTTGTGATAACTCTTTGGACTATCTTCCTTCCTCTCAAAACCCAAAATCGTTGACAAGTGTCAGCTAGAACAACTGGTACTCCTCCATGCAATAGAGTCAGGTGGCGTTTATAAATTAGTTTATCAGTTCATGATCTGAAGGCAAAACAATTGGATTTAATATGTTTCCTTCATCTTCTCTTCGAACAATTTTTGTTTTTAACCTAATGAATCTATCATCATTTAAGAAATATTAAGGATTTTTAATTTGTCACTCGTAGACTTTCCATTGAAAGCTTTCTTTTGAAAAATTTTCATGAGTATTTTTTCTGAATTTTCGATTTCTCGTACAGGCAACTCTCCCTTCATTATATTCTCAGAATTTTTACAGTTAAGCTTCGTAAACTTCTTCACTATTGGTTTGAATCTGAGACTTGGGCCAGTTGTCTTCGGATTGCTTTAGCTACTCTGGTCCCTCCCTCCATTTCGATGAAAAAAAAAAGTTTGGAGAAGAACCTATGAATGGGAGGTCTGTCGGATTATGACTGCCAGGAATGTTTCCATGAATATATTGAAGTGATACTTCGAATTTCTTTAACTCTATTTTTAACGAAAGTAGCCCAATTATCTTAATTCTGAATCCAAAACAAAGCGGCGGAAGAATCAATCCAACATGTGGTTGGGACTTCTGTCATATTCCTTTCTCTTCTAATGTAATATATATAATGCGTGCTCCTACACAACAGGCTAATGATTCCAATTTGGGAATTGTTGCTTTAGTCAAGGGAGAAACTCTGCTCTTAGTTTGAATTAAATTAACTTTGATTTCATCGCTGCTTACTTTACGTAGAAATACAACTGCGCTGTAAGAAGATTTACTATCATCTACAAAAGTATGAAGACTTAATACTTCTCGGAAACCATCACAATCAACATATCTTGGAATTCCGATAAAAAATGAAGGTCTTCCGTCCAGAGTTAAAGACGGTTTGCAAAAACTTTCAGGGCATACCTCATCCTAGCCTAATTTAAGAGTCCAGGTTTCTTGTATTAGCATCTTCATGCAGATGGTTTCTGGGAACAGCATTCCAATAGGATAAAAAATGTTGTTGGCAGCTGAAAGAATATTTCTTCTTGTTACAGATTCTTTCTCAAAGGAAAAATTTTCTAAGTTACAAATAAGAACATCTTTATTCTGTCCCACAATAATCCAAGAACGGGAGAATCATTTTCTCTTTTATTTCCTGTTAAAGACGTATATTCCCATAGCCAGAATTTGTTTAGCCTCACGTACAAATTGCAATAGTTCCTTTTCATCAGATGCAGATATTACACAGTTATCCATATAAAAGGCATTTTTTAATTCATGCGTAGTTTCTGGAAAATCATCACCGAATTTCTCCAAATGAAAATTAATACTGCAGGTAAAAGGAATGGACTGCATGTGAGTTCAAAGACTATCCTTTTATGATGATACATTCTCAATTTTCCTTTCTCAAAATTCTCCCACCGCAAAAATCTCAAATAGTCCTGATCTTCTTCGGCAAGAGAAATCTGTAAGAAAGATCTTTCATATGTCCGAAATGGTGCAAATCAAGCTTTCCCGAAACCTCAGGAGTAGTGGAAAGATTTTCTCTAAGAGGTTTGGTACTTTCTCTAGAACATCGTTGAGTGACGAAGAATCACCGGATCTACCACAGGCATCGAAAGCAAGTTGAACTAAAGCTCCTATATAGTAGAGGAGCCTTACGTCAAACGCTTGTGGTGGAGTTACACCTCGATGGGGTAAATAATGGCATGGAATTTTATTTTCTTCCTCGCGATGTACTTCTTCAATAATATTCTCCGCTAACCATTCCTGGAAAACAGCATCATAATCTGCATATGTGACTTCCTTAACAAGTTTCTCCGCAGCTGATACACACCTACGCTCCGCAACCAATATTGTTGGTTCAAAAATTTCCTGCTTCTAACCAAGGCAGCTTCCACGATGTACCGACCTTCTTATCCCTTCTCACCATTCGCTGGAACTGTTGCATAATTAATTGATGTGCCTCTTCTTTAGATTTTATTTAAAGGATCTCCGATTCTGAATATCCATAGGTCTTAGGTCATAGTCATCGCTTATTAATAGGTATACGACCCTGAAGTCTTTACCTATCTATATCTGTCCTTAAGTAGGTATCCTAAAAGTGAAAAAAAAAATTCCAAATCTTGGAATAAACCTGTACACTTGAAGTGTTGAATGACATCCAATGTGGCAGTAATGTAACAGTGGCATAACTTGGTAAAATAGCGATTTAAACATCTGAAGCATAACTTTCACATCGTAAAAGAAATTTAACACATCTGTAGCATAAAAACTTTGGCATAACTTTCTCCTCGTAGGTACTACGGCTGAGTGTCCTCCTTCCTCCGTGTCTTGGAGAATATAGCGTGGGCATAATAGTTGAGGCATATAACAGTAGTGGGCGGAGCATAGTTGCACTGACCAAACGTTGAAATTTTAACACATAATACAAATCAAAGTCCTGCCTCCGGGGGCGCAAAGTCCATATCGCTTTGCAATAATTAAGTAAATATAATAAAGAGTAAACAATGAAAAGTAGAAAAAACATTAATATACATCGATCATCACCATAACTCGTTATGGTGTATCGTTCTTGGTCTTTTGCAGCGTTGAATGACTGTATAGTCATAATCTCCTATGCTACGTACAGCTTCATTTTCGTGATTATCACATTTGGTGTAGAAATTATGTGAGGCAATTAAGATCTCGCTATCTAATGGTTTGATTTTCATTCCACGATGTATTGCAGTGTTTCTTACAAACCACGGGCGAGTCTGTGATAGTTCTAAGAAATTTATTTTGCAATCTTTGCAAAATCTGGCGATTTGAGCTGGCCCATGCTGGTGCTGCGTACACTAAAATAAATCGGTCTTATTGCTTGAAGATAGAGAATTCTCTTAGTACTTAGTTGTAATTTTGAATGTCTCCCTATTAAGGCATAAATAGACTTAAAAGCTTTGTGAGCTTTTTCACGAGTATACATAATATGCGGCCTGAATGTAAGCTTATCGTCAAGAATTACACCAAGTATTTAATATTTTTAACTGTGGGTACTGGGGTACTGTGGCACCATCTAGTGTTATGTTGTTTACTTCTTTGAGGTTGTATCTAAAAAATATGACTTGAGACTTAGTTGCATTGGTTTTGATATTCCAAGCGTAAAACCACTTGGTGAGGATATTAACGGCTTTTTGAAGCTTATCTCTTGCTTTGGGGCTAATAGAACTGCACATGATTGCGGTGTCATCCGCATAGCAGCAAAAGTAGTATCTGGGATATTTGGCATATCGTTGATGTATAGACAAAATAATATTGGCGAAAGTAAACTTCCTTGCGGAAGACCGGCCTGAATAATTTTCTTGCTGGATAAAGTATCTTTAATTTTAACCTGAAAAGTTCTACTGTCTAGGTAGCTGAATATTGTCGTAATAAGGTCCGGAGGAAATTGATAATTTATCATTTTGACAAGGAGGCCAGCATGCCAAACCTTGTCAAAAGCCTTCTCGATGTCCAAAAATAGGGCAGCAACAGTCTCTTTCTTATTTAGATGTTGTCCGATAATTTCTGTAATTCTTGTGATTTGGTGTACTGTAGAATGACCTGGTCTGAAGCCAAACTGGTAATTCTTTAGCAAGTTGTGACTTTCAATGAAGTTATTAACTCGATTTACAATAATACGTTCAAATAATTTAGCAAGAGTAGGGAGCAAGCTGATTGGTCTATAACCGCTCGTAGTTGACCCGTCTTTTCCTGGTTTTCTTATGACGATAATGGTAGCGTGTTTCCAGATACGAGGGAAATAGTTCAAATTTAAGCAGGCGTTAAAAATTTTTGTAATGAGGATTATTATCCCTTTCCTGTTCAGGTTCTTGACGGCTTTGTTACCAATCCCGTCATAACCGGCCGCTTTCTTTGGGTTCAAATATCAAGACAATCTTTTACTTGTCGGGGGTGATGAGGTTTCCTACGCTGCGACTATTAGTAGCAATGTAATCTTTTACATGGTTTTCGATGTTAACATCATTTGGGTTGGGGTACTGATTTAACGTGAATTGGTCTTCGTAATCGCTAGCGAAGATGTTTGCTATATCCTCAGCTTTATGAAAAGCCTGGTTGTTATGTTTAATTGGGCCAATGTTGTTCTCCTCCTTTCTGAGCGCTTTACTAATTCTCCAAACAGTAGAATCTGTGTGGGACAGGCTGTCTACAAAATTTTCCCATGCCTCTGAGCGATACTTAATCATCATGAGCCTAAGTTCTTTATTGCATTTATTAAAATTTCTTCTATCCTGCGGATTTTGAGTTCTCTGAACAATCTTCCGAAGTCTGTTTTTCTCTTTAATTTTTAATCTGATGTTGTAGGGGAGGGTTATGTCTTCATTTTTAACAAACTGCGCATTTTTTAAGGCACTCTGGATTTTAATATTTAAGTTTTGTATAGCAGTGTCTATCTCTTCTTTTGAGTTAAGATTTGCGTTAGGAGTGATGTTATTATTAATTTCATTCTGGTACTGAATCCAGTTTGTCCGAGTCTTCATGGGAGGTAATCCATGTCGTAGCCCGTAGAGGGTAAAACGAACAGGTAAATGATCGGAGGATAGATCATTGTCCACACTGAGATAAGGCTGTTGCGAAACATTAAAAGTAAGCATAATATCTAAGATATCAGAGTTGCTGCGAGTCATAGGGCAATACGTGTGCTCCGTAGGAGCAAAAATTTGTACATTATTGTTTATTATGTAGTTATATAACACAATTCCATCTTGGTTGTTTGTCCTGCAGTTCCAATTTGTATTTTTACAATTCATATCACCTGCGATGATAGTAGGATAACCCAACCTTGCAATATAATCTAAATCCTGCGTATTGAGCGAGTTTCCGGGTGGCTTATAAATCGAAACTATGAGATATTCTACTCCTTTGCTATTCAGAATACACGCACATGCTTCTATGCTGTTAAAAATGGGTAATGCGAATTTGCAGCAGCATTTTAGGTATCTTTTGGCAGCTATGGCGGTGCCTCCACCACGGTTATGTATTCGGTCGCTTCTAAACACATCGAAGTTTGCGATCTTTAGGGAGTCAGTCGTCCTGAGATGCGTCTCATTAAAAAGAACGATATCTAAGCTATGCCTGTTAATGTAGTCTTTAATTTCAGTTACTTGACTTTTTATGCCATTACAGTTAAAGAACATAAATTTTGCATAGTTAATATGCCTACTGTTACATGCTAAGTTGTTTTGGATGTGATTATACATGATTGTTCATATCAAACATCTTAATGGCTTCAAGAGCCACGCTTAACTTATTCACCTGGTCATCTGTTTCTCTTCTTTAAATTGCAGATACAGAGAGTATAAATTTTTCATAAATCTATTAAAACCTTCAATATCGGTTTCGTCATTAATTTGATAGGTTTTTCCTCCTGGCCTGGGTTATTTCTAGTTATCTCATCGGTGCGGCGGCGGCCGCGTACGTTTTTGGAGTCGGAGCCTTTTTCTGATTGGCTCTCAGTAGAGCGAGTATAATTTTTCGCTTTTTCAGTCATGGCGCTGGGTATGATTTTCTTATTTTCAAAGTGTTTGGGAGAATGTTCCATATTTCCAGGCCTCTTGGGGCAATCAAGACTACACGCTGCGTGCGAACCGTTACAAAGGACACACTGGGCTGCATGTTCTTTTTTTATTTTTATATGGGCATTCGAAAGATTTATGCGATTCAGTACAGCGTACACATCGCGGTTCGTTGTGACATGCCTTCTGGGTATGCCCGTACCTTTGGCAATTAAAACATTGCGTTGGTCCGGGCCTACCTTTGTAAGATTTTATAGTAACCTTCATATCACATAAGTATTTAACTTGCCATATTTTCTTACCCTCGTCATTACGGGGGGGTTTCAACATAAAAAACCGGCAGCTGTGTAGCAATACCGTCTCTCATTCTAGTGATGGGTTTGACTTTAATTATCGGTATTTTTTGAGCTTCTAACTCTTCTTTAATTTCGTCAGCCTGGTAATCCGTGGTGAGTCCTTTTATGACCAATCTGTTACATTTATCTGAGTTTAACAAAAAGGTGTGATACGGAATTTCCTCCTTTTCTAATTTATCCTGCACCTTTTCATAACTGTGATTAATTTTCAGGTCCCCATATATATGGATTGAGAAAAGAATGGAAAACCCACTTAAGTGTTCGTAACAAATATCAAAAAGCGCCCGAAGGTTGTCTCCTGTAAGAGTACACTAAAGCAGGACTTACGGCCAGGTAAATGTTTTAAAAATTTTATTATATTTGCTTGTATAATAATCATGACTCAACTTTTAATTCTTCAGCAGTTGAGAGATTAAGCAATTATTTTTCCCAAATACGCGTGATATCTCGTCTTAACCCTTTCTGGCAGGCAGTCTTAGAGGAGTACACAAGTAAAATTTTGTGAAGATGGCACTTATCTTTTAACTCTGTGGGTGTGCCCAAAGTGAGCACGCTTATTGAATAGAGCTTCGAAAAGAGTGCTGAAACGAGCATTGTTGTCAATGAACTGACCGATGAGATACGGAGAAACAAAGAATACAGACTCTCAGTTGTCCTAGATTATCAGTGAGCCTGGTTTGGGCACACCTAAGGTTCGCCGTTTGGTTTTAAGCAAGATTTCAAGGTAAAAATTTAAAACTAATATAGAATAAAGAATTAGCATACAGCTAAAAGAATAACATAGAAATTTCTTATCAAAAATTCCTCTTAAAGTTTGAATCTTGAAAGATTTAAAACTAACAGGAAACGTGTTATTCAGAGCGCTATCTCATAAAGAAGTTCAGAGTCCAAACCTTTTCTTCAATTTTTTCGTACGAAGGAAATTTTTATGTGTGACTGACTGTTATATACTAGACGGAGCATCGCCATTCAAAACCGGGTGAAAAAGTGGCACAGGAATGAGCTGCAGGAGTTTGGGCATGAAATGGAACTGAATCCAGACTTTGGCGTACTATCGCCATGGCTGGCGATTTTTTCCTCTCTTTTCTCTCAGTTCGAAATGCGAACTTGGAAAGACGTCATTTCGCAGAAGCTGCCGTTGAATTTGCAGAAGAGGTTAGATCGATAAACACCAGCCAAAATTAATAATTTCCCTAAAATTGGACACTTTATTTTAAAATTTATTTTAAATTTTAATTTTTAAAATTTAAATAATTTTCATGCTGTAGAATAATATTTTGCAATATGTCCATCGGCGTCTACAAAATTTAAAATAAAATAAAAAAAAACTGGAGAGAACAAACTAAATAATAAACTAATAACTAAATAATAAACTAATAATAAATAATAAACTAATAGCAAACTAAAAAATAAATAAGTAAATAAATAAAAAAAGAAGGCTTTTTAGTACTTAGGACAGAATAAAAAATAAAAAAATAGATAACATAAGAAGAATGAGTGAAAACAGAAAATAGTACAAAAAGGAAATTTAATATTAATACGAAAAGGAAATTTAATGTTAATACAAAAGGAAAATAAAGGAAATTTAATGTTAATACGGTGTATTACAGAGAACTACAGAGTAGGCAAATCAAAGTGAGAAAGATATTAAATAAAATGAACTAAAAATGAATGTCAATATAGCAGATATAAGTTAAAAGGAAGAGAGAGAGTGGTAAATAATTAAATTATGAAACAAAAAGGTGGTAAATTAAGACTTCCTTTTACTAGCAAATATATATATATATATTATGCACGTTGCACAATGTAGTCGCACTTATTTTAAATAATTTTAGAAGGTAAAATTTAAATAATGTTCATTATTTTTAAAAAGAAACTTAAAACTATTAAAGTTTTGAAATTTAACTGCTATATAATTGCTATTTTCTTAATACTTAACAAATTCTTAATATTTGAATAAATGCCAGAAACATGATATAAGAAAGAAAATACGTGATTGAAGGTAAACAAATTTGTTATATTTGGATGCAAGAAAAGGGGATAAAATAAAGTCATTCATGTCCCCCCCCCAAAAAAACATAATTTTATGCAGTTCTTACACAGTGTTACATCAACATTACCAAGTATTAAATACATACATTACTACTTCGCACATGTCCGCATGAGCAAACGCATACAAAGAATATATAAACAAACGCATTCAAAGCAGTCTGTTGGCGTATAAAAAAATGTCGCCAAAGCAGAATACTAGACTAATTAAAATTATATTGTATTACTAAAATTTTAACATTTTTTTCAGAAAACAGTTATTAGAAACATACATATATATTAAGATACTTTTATTTAAATGTTATTTCAAGTATGCATATATTATATAAAATTAGAAAATCTATTTTTTATTAGAAAAAGACAAGTAGAGTGGATAAAAAAACCTCTACATTTTATAAAATTAGGTTTTAAAACATTAGAAAAAGCTCAGTTGTGAAATGTTACTCCCCCATCTTTCACATATCTGGAATTACATCCATATGCGGAGCACGAAAGTATCATTTTCGAAGTCCGAAACAATGCGCTTACACGCAAAACACTTGCTTCTTACAAATTCTCCATAGAACTGTAATGGTAAGGAAGATCCGAGGGAAATACGATTTGGGAAATGTTCCAAATGTCACGTGGTTCGCATTCCTGTTCCCCTTCAGGGTTGCCGTTTCTCTCTCTAGTACATTACAGCTCTATGGTCCAGACCGGACACACTGTGCCGCAAAGGGTTAAATTTCTAATGCGAGCTGTTCGTTTTTCGCCCTTTGCAATGCATAACTGGAATGCGAGCTGAGCTTGATGATGATCTTCAAAAGGTTTAAGTCAGCTTTTACTTCTTTAGAAATGGTTTATACTATAAATTATTAAACTATAAATTTATTTCTTTCAAATGCCAAGAAAATCAGATACTTTTAACTCTTAAAACTGATCTTAAGCACGCAAATAAAGAAAAGTTTACTTATGAACAATTAAAAATTTTCATCCCTACTTATATTATAGAGTCTGTGGATATTTTTTGGTATCATACACCCTGAACTCTATATTCAAGTAGCGAATTCTTGCTATGTCTTTAAAAATAAATATTGCAGGAGAAAGGTTTAAATAACCTTTTTGTTTAAAATAAAATTAAAACAGATGCATGCACTTCCTGCTCACAAATCACCACCACTTGTTGCTACGTAACAGAAAATAAGAATGTAATAAATCGCTAATAAATTAAGAATGCTAATGACTGGCTCCGTAGCTTAAATTAACTCTAAATCGGCTGCACACAGCAAAGCCGAACCGAGAAATATCAGTAGAAATTGAAAGGTGTCAACCACCGAACTAGAGAGCTAATTTTAAATTCGCAGCATTAACATCGGAACTAAGTCCGCTACTACTACTTTTCCACAGCTTAAGTACGGCTTCTGAACATGCTGAGAATTCGCATCTACATTATACAAAATTTACCTTCCAGCAGGAAACTGAAATCAGGAGGAACAGGAAAGTCAAACTAAAAATAATTGTTTAGAATAAATAAAATCCGTACAATATAAAGTTTTGATTAACGTTGAAATTTCTTGTGCTAGAAGTAACTAACTGAAAACATTGGATAAATACATATCATAAGAAGGAATTTGTCATTCATCAGGAATTAATACTATCAGCCAAAGTATTCTTTAAAAATTAATAACTAAATTGGGGATATAATCACATATCAGTTAACAAAATTAAATAAATAAAAATAAGCATAAGATTTTAATGTGGCAGTTTTTTATAACTTCATGAAAATTAACTAGAAGTAAAATTAAGTTGACATGAATTGAATGATAAATGTAGAATAGATTATTCTAAATTTGTTTGAACTAGTAAAGAATATTATAACTGAGACTGCTGCATTGACAATTTAGTCTTCTCAGGTAAAATCTGTAACTTAAGCTACCGGAATAAAGTTGTTCAAGTGTTTGAAGTTATAATCTGCATCTATCAGTTCCTAGTAATATTAAATTTGCTTTAGGAATTATTTTTAATGAGTCTCTTGTACATTTAAATAAAAATTTCTAGAATATAATCTGTTTCTGAATAAGCGTCTGTTAATACTATATTTAAAGAAAGTTCCTACCTAAAGGATATTTATATATATTTAAATTCAAATTGCAAAAAAATGAAAATTTCGCTAACATAATAGTAACAATTAGGTTGTTAATAGACACACAAACCATCATGATAAATAAAAAAGTTCAACCTCATCTTGCCCCTCCCTTTTTTGTTGTTTATTGTTGTTTACTTTTAGATTTTTATCACCTT